AAAAATAGGCATTTTTTGAATGGGATTGATTCCTACGGTATCAAAAATGTTTAAATACGAACGGAATGACCATCTTATATATTATAACTTTCTCACGAAGGTGAAGGATATAAAAACTGTACTTACAAATTTTAAAAATATTAAAAAGAAGTTATAACGCTTTATAAGTCGCCTTTGTAACAGTATTTAAATGAACCATAACGTTTGCGGACTAAGCCAATGATTTTTGATATTCTTACCATATAATTTAAATTATTTCGCATATACTAATGGCGGAAACTCTATTACATCAGATAAGGTCCAGCTGATTTAAAAATGCAAATTTGCAGTCAAAAAATAAAAGAGATAAGACCTTAATCGAAAACAAAATAAGTAAAATCTAAATATAAATACAAATATAAGTGCGTTGTTTTGATTAAAAGTTTAATAATTCAACAGATAATTTATTGTAGTTGTTGTTGTCTTATTTTAAAATAGCTAATTTTGAGCAACTATAACTATTTTTAGTTAAAATTTTTAACAATTCATCCTTTTTGTATTGCCAACCTATTTGCAGTTTATAGCGAAATAAAAACAAATCATACTCACACCTTGCTTCTTGGTTACAACACATGTTCCGTTTCCTTTTGTTTGAGAGCATAAGGATGTAAACAAACCGTTATTGAGCACACAGAACAGTTATTCTCTCCTTTCAAAGTGTATTATTGATTTTTTAAGAAAAAGTTGACATAATTTTTCGCCTTAACACTGCTGCTGTTGGAAAATCTTAAAATTAATTTGGAAAAAAGGAATTTTAAAGTAAATGCTCGATTTCTTAACAAAAAATTAAAGTGCTTTAACGTTAAGCATTAAAGATAATTTCTAAAATTGACGGGTTAAGAAAATAGCTAACAAAATTTCACACTTACTTGAAAATCCGTTGCTGCTACTCCACAGCCAACAACATAACACTGGAGGAGCAACATCACCGTCACCATCAACAGCTGCTGTATCGACACCGTCGACGTTATTTACGTCCAACGTCGTTGTGGAGCGTAGCGATTTCTTTAACGTGGCTTCTACCGACGGCATCAGGACGCAGCACAGCAAAGTTCACCCGAGTCCAGGGGCAGGTACGGCCCGTAGTGTTTGGGCCCTGCCCCTGAACTATGATAGCTGCAATATGGTGGCGGAAGAGGATAGTGCTGCCCACACGGATCATGAAGTGGATCCTCGGCGACCACACTCCCCGCATGTGGTAAATGTGGGTAATGGGGTTAATAGTTCTTTGGTGGTCTCGAATGCTTCTGGAGGCGCTGCTGGCGATAGTGGTGTAGTTTCCGGTCGTAGAGGTGAGGCGGTAGATGAAAATCTCTTGATTTTCGAAGGAGCCGATGGTACAGTGGCTCATCTGGACGATATTTTCGATATTATCAAAAATGGTGAAGTCAGTGATGTGGAGAATTTAACCGATAAATTTGGCATTGAATGTTTATCAGCCCGAGACCGTCATGGCTATACGCCTGCCCATTGGGTGGCTCTGAATGGTAATGTGGAAATGATGCGTTATCTTATCGAAAGATCGGCTCCTATAGATTTGCCTTGTTTGGGAACCCAAGGACCACGTCCCATACACTGGGCTTGTCGTAAGGGTCACGCTGCGGTGGTACAAGTTATGCTGCAGGCCGGAGTTAATGTTAATGCAGCCGATTTTAAAGGTTTAACTCCTCTGCATGTGGCCTGTATGTATGGACGCACTGCCACTGCCGCTTATTTGTTGGGTATGGGTGCTCTTAATCATTTGACCGATATTAATGGCGATACGGCTCTACATTGGGCTGCTTATAAGGGTCATGCTGATCTAATGCGTTTGCTAATGTACTCCGGGGTAGAGTTGCAGAAAACGGATAATTTTGGTTCCACGCCCTTGCATTTGGCCTGTTTGTCAGGCAATATGTCTTGTGTGCGTTTGTTGTGTGAAAAATCCAATTTAGATTTAGAGCCTAGAGATAAAAATGGCAAAACTCCCATCATGCTGGCTCAGGCTCATCAGCATCAAGACATTGTACGTCTATTGTATACGGAAGTTAAGAAAAAGTCACGCTGGATGCCTTCGGTATCGGAAATTTGGGGTTGGTTGTTTGGTGGTGCCGGGGACTCAAAAGGTCCCTTACTGTTGTTCTTATTCTCGGTTTTACTTTGGGGTTATCCCATGTACATGATAAGGGTAAGTGGCTTTAAATTATATGTATTTCTAGTTTTTTATTTATCTACATATTACAGGCTATTCCCATTACTTGGAATATCCTAAGACGTTCGCATTACTGTTTCATCTATTGGAATGCTGTTATGTGGATTAGTTGGATTATTGCCAATCGTCGTGATCCTGGCTATATACCTTTAAGTTCAGATGCTTATTATCGGGCCATTAAACAGATACCGTATTTTGATAAGCTTAAGAAACGTAATGTTATACTGACACGTCTGTGTCATAGCTGTCGTTGCTTGAGGCCACTGAGAGCTAAACATTGCCGTGTATGTAATCGTTGTGTGGCCTATTTTGATCATCACTGTCCCTTTATTTATAATTGCGTTGGCCTACGTAATCGTATGTGGTTTTTCTTGTTCGTACTCTCGGTAGCAGTTAATTGTTCTTTTACCATCTATTTCGCCTGCTATTGTGTTATGATCGAAGGTTTTACTTTGCTCTATGTTTTGGGTCTGGTCGAGGCTGTTGTGTTCTGTGGTTTGGGCTGGATTTTAACCTGCACTTCGGTAAGTTGTTTAACATTTAAACAGAGTTCTATATATAATTGCAATATTGATATGTTTCATTCAGATTCTTCATGCCTGCATGAACCTTACTACCAACGAAATGTTCAACTATAAACGTTATCCCTATTTGCGTGACAAACGTGGTCGCTATCAAAATCCCTTCTCACGCGGTCCCATACTTAATCTCTTGGAATTCTTTGTTTGCCTACCCGATCGCAGTGATGACAATGATCTTCTATTGGAGGATAATATTTGATTAAGAACTTAGGATAGAGCCCATCAGGCACGACGCCGTAAATTACCGCCTGCCAGAGGATAATATTAGGCTTTGGATTAGCAATAAAGAAAATCGGGTAATTTGAGTGTTGTAATGGAGATGGTTTTCCTTAAATATTGGCTTTATAATTAAAAATTAAATTCTTAAGCTTAAAATTTACTTCTTAAAAACCATATACTGCACAAAGATATCTATGGCACAACAACTTGTTTATCATGTTTAGAAATCTTGTTTACAGATTCTTCCATAAACGAGACCAGCAGAATAGATATCATTAAAATATTTGTACACAATATATAGCATATTTTTGTAACATTAATACTCTTTACAACTATAGCTTAGCAAATGTCTTGTTAATGTATTTTTAAGAATTTAAAATAAATTTATTAAAAAATATTCCTATAAAAAGGTTTTGTGTCTAAGTATAGATTGAACAAATTGAAAGGGTATCACAATGACTCAAAAAGTTTTTCCTAAAATTTCCTTTAGGGGATATTCATCTTTCTGGCTGAAAATTCACTTTAAATGGAAATTCATGCATTTTATTAAAAAATTTCCTATAAAAAGGAAATTTCCCTTAAAAGGGAAATTTTATAAAAAAAAATGTCTTTTAAAAGGGAAATTTGTCAAAAATTTCCTTTAAAAGGGAAATTTATCAAAAATTTCCTTTAAAGGGGAAATTTATCAAAAAATTCCTTTATGAGAGAAATTTATCAAAAATTTCCTTTAAAAGGGAAATTTATCAAAAAATTCCTTTAAAAGAGAAATTTATCAAATATTTCCTTTATCAATATTAAGAAGAAAACATCCTAAAGAAAAAAATTATTCAAAGCGTAGAAGGAAATTTACCAAAAATATCCTTTAAAAAGAAAATTTATCAAAATATACCTTTAAAAGGGAAATTTATCAAAAAATTACTATAAAAAGAAAATGTAGTAGGGAAATTTATCGAAAATTTCCTTTAAAAACGAAATTTATTAAACATTTCCTTTAAAAGGGGAATTTATCAAAAATGTTCTTTAAAATGGATATTTATCAAAATTTTCCTTTAAAAGGGAAATTTTTCAAAAAATTTCCTATAAAAGGGAAATTTTTCAAAAATTTCCTTTAAAAAGTAAATTTATCAAAAATTTCCTTTAAAAAGAAAATTTGTGAAAAATTTCCCTTAAAAGGGGAATTTATTAAAAATTTCCCTTAAAAATTAAATTTATCGAAAATATCCCTTAAAAATTAAAATTATTGAAAATTTCCCTTAAAAATTAAATTTATCGAAAATTTCCTTTAAAAATTAAATTTATCAAAAAATTCCCTTAAAAAGGAAATTTATCAAAAATTTCCTTTAAAAGGGAAATTTATCAAAAAATTCCTTTAAAAGAGAAATTTATCAAAAATTCCTTTAAAAGAGAAATTAATCAAAAATTTCCTTTAAAAGGGAAATTTATCAAAAATTTCCTTTAAAAGGGAAATTTCCCTTAAAAATGAAATTTATTAAAAATTTCCTTTAAAAGGGAAATTTATCAATATTAAGAAGGTAACATCCTAAAGAAAGAAATTATCAAAGCTTAGAAGGAAATTTACCAAAAATATCCTTTAAAAAGAAAATTTATCAAAAAATTCCTTTAAAAGGGAAATTTATCAAAAAATTACTATAAAAAGAAAATGTAGCAAGGAAATTTATCAAAAATTTCCTTTAAAAATTAAATTTGTCAAAAAATTTCTTTAAAAAGGAAATTTATCAAAAATTTCCTTCAAAAGGGAAATTTATGGAAAATTTTCTTTAAAAGAGAAATTTATAAAAAATTTCCTTTAAAAGGAAATTTATCAAAATAGGAAAATTTAGGAAAATTATTATAGAAAGGAAATTATAAAAAAATTCCTTCAAAATTTTTCTTTGAAAAGATACACATTCGGCTGAGAATTATGCACTTTTAATTTATTTTTACTTAAATAAAACTACAATAATTTTGATACTTTTTTGTATTTGTTTTATTACAAAACATTTCAATTTAAGTATAAATTTATTAAAATTAATTCGTTGAAAATGAAATTGCACACATAAAACATTATAAATATTAGGGTCTTATACGATTGTGTTTACATAATTGGATGATGATTTTATATATAATATAAAATATATATAAATTGGTTTTGTATAAAATAAAAGGGTAGATAAAAAAGACAATAATTATAATGATTAGGTTTGCGGTATGTGCGTTTTGTTTAAATACTTTTAGATTAACTTTGGCTTTTTTTTATTATAACATACAAACTTTGAATGCGAGACTAATAGAAAAATGGAGATTAATATTTTACTCTTGGAATATATCGATGTATCTTTGTAATACTTAATTTTCAAAACAAAAATCATAATTTTCTGGATCCTCTGGTACAGGTGGTGGATCCTTACTAATATCAACACCTTCAGTATCTAACAATCTTAGTTTAATTTCCATCGATAGCAGGGTATCGAAGTCTTCTTTTTTCTGTTTACTAACCATTTCTTGGCCCAAGAGAGCATTTATACCATCGGTCCAATAGTAGAAGATGGTTTCATCGGGCGCCACGAAGTCCAATGTCGAGTGATCCATACTATCGAATGTTATGGAAAAGGCCAAATTAACGGCTGACTTGCGTGTTCGTATTTCTTTCATATGTGGACATTCTTTGCCCTCCAATAATTGTTTGATATCAACAACGGATACTTTATTGGAAAGTTCTTCGAGAGTTGGTATAGTTTTTTCATCGCAGTCACCGTAATGTATAACTTTGTGATTGGGCGAGAGACGTGCGTACCAAAACTTATCTTTAGAACGGGCGCCACGTGAGTATTTCGAGAAACGGGTACCTGTGAATGAGATTTAAGATGATGATATTTGGACTGGGTCTCCTTTCCTTTAAAAAGGAAATTTATCATAAATTGCCTTTACAAGGGAAATTTATTAAAAATTATTTTAAAAGGGAAATTTATCAAAAATTTCATTTAAAAGGGAAATTTATCAAAAACTTCCTTTAAAAGGGAAATTTATCAAAAATTTCCTTTAAAAGGGAAATTTATCAACAATTTCCTTTAAAAGTGAAATTTATCGACAATTTCCTTTAAAATTGAAATTTATTAAAAATTTCCTTTAAAAGTGAAATTTATCAAAAATTTCCTTTAAAAGTGAAATTTATCAAAAATTTCCTTTAAAAGGAAAATTTATCAAAAACTTCCTTTAAAAGTGAAATTTATCAAAAACTTCCTTTAAAAGGGGAATTTATCAAAAGATTCCTTTTAAAAAAGAAAGTAATAAAAATTTCCTTTAAAAAGGGAAATTTATCAAAAATTTTCTTTTAAAAAGGGAAATTTATCAAAAATTTCCTTTAAAAGGGAACTTTATCAAAAATTTCCTTTAAAAGAGAAATTTATCAAAAATTTCCTTTAAAAAACAAATTTTTCAAAAATTTCCTTTTAAGAAAATTTATCAAAAAATTTCTTAAAAAACTTATTTTAAGAAGAAATTTTGCAAAAAAAAAAATTGTTGTCAATCCAAATATATAAACATGTTTATAAAACTCACCTTCTACTAAAAATGCCAGTCTTTGTTGTTTTATCAAGTCCAAAATATGCGGTGAAATTTTCTCCTTCAATTTAACTATAGCCGAAGCTGTCGAATCACATTCCTCTTTCGATGTCCTCTCCTGCTGGCGTAAATTCGTAATGGTTTGATACGTAAAATGGGCAATTTTTCCCCGGAAATCTTCGAGATTATCAGGACGTTGCTTTAAAGTACGTGTTATCTGTTCACGTACAACACTAAATACCTTTAGAAAATCTTCGCCAGTGGCACGCATATCCTTCCAAGTGCGATTCAAAGTCATGATGCAAATACAAAAGAATTCCTCAAATGGATGATCGTGAGTAAAGAACATGGGTTGAAAATCGACAGACTGGTCAGAGGGTGATTCGCCGATACGCAAAATATCACACAACAACTTGACTAACTCAATGGAAGTACGTCCAAAAGGGCATTCATGTTCATCACCACGACAAGAGTTATCGTGTACAATCTTCCGATACTGCTGTATGTAGTTGCGTGCAAAGTAAATCATACAATCGAGACCCAAAATGCCCGGTGGTGTTTCCATGAAATCTTGTGCCGGATTAATGTCACATTTAAAACCTAACTTTTTATAATACTGGGCAAAGTTAACATTTCCTGTGCCCGAACAATTGCCACCGCCACCACCCATGCCGGCGCTCATAAGATCGGAATATTCATCGAAAGCTATTTTACGTAATTCTTTGATTTTTTCATGGGCATCTTGATCTTGGGCATTGATTTTCATGCGCATACGTTGCTCCAACAAACCCAAAGTTAATGTTTGTAAAACATACAATTGATGGGTCATCTCAGTGCTAGTAACATTACCTATCAAAGCCAAACGATATTGTTTAGCACTTATTGTATGAGCTATTTGGCGCTTTCTACCCTCATCCGCTTTCATGAAGAGAGCATTTATTAATGCTATAGCATTTTGTATGATAACCGATGAATTGGCATCTTGTAATAATCTCAAGAGATCTTGCAAAGTCACCTCCTGTTCAACCAAAGTATATTTCGTACTATTCTGTACAATATTCTCTAAATTCGATAGAGCACTTTCGGTGCATTTGGGAAAATTTTGAAAATTTCTTACAATATAAATATTACGTTGTACAAAAGTATTTTGTAAAATCTCCCACGAAACCGTGCCGTGTTCCATTAGTTCTACGAAACTTTTTAAACTGTGTATAAGTATTTTATCCTCCTTGTCGGAGGGTTCTTCAATCATACTTATAATAATGCCTAGACCCTGTTCTTTTATGAATTCCAGGGCGAAGGTTACATCAACCGAAAGTGAAGATAACTTTTCCAAACAATCACCTTTAACATTAGCTGAACCGGCACGCAATGTTTCCAACGTATCATTGGCAGTTTTTGAGGGTGAATACTGAAGACGCAGCACGGAACCATTTTTAATTTCATTACGATTCTTTTCCGTAACATATTTTAAATAGTTGTTTTCACAAAATTGTAAAGCATAGTTTTCGGGATCAACAATACCCCAACAACTGCAGATTTCTTGGATTTTGCCTGACAAAAAGAAGTTAAATAATTATGTTAATATGACCAATTTTGGGATGATCGTGAGAAAATCTTGTAAAATATTAGTTTTGCTTTAAATTTTATTTGGTTACAAAAAGTTATGACTTCTTATGAAAAAATAATCATACTTTTGTATGATGATGCAATGGAACTTAGTGCAATAGTTGTGATAGTCTATGAATAGTTGCAACGGTTGTTTGCTTAATTTTTATGAGTAATCATCAAAATTCCGAAGACATTAGATAAACTGACATTGTCGACACCAATGAAGCTACTTTTAAGAGGCATTACGAACAGTAAACAGACAGACTGGTGGAGAGTGTGCTACCTAAACTAAACATACAAACGCATACTACTCATAGAAAGTCATTTACATAAAGTATATTCATACATTCTCATCGCCATTTCCTTCCTGTTGACACTATTTGAATATTTAATCAATTACAATCTTCATACAAATACCAATTGCACATCATTACTATTATTGTTTATTATTGTTTGTATGAGAGTTGTTGTTGTGCCTGTATGACTGACGGACTTGAATTGATTGTATGAACAACAAAAGGGCGTTGGTTTACCAAACTCAAATAAAAACCAATAAACACTCCTTTAAAATCCTTTTAATACCCAAGAAATTTAAGAAAACATAATAGTTTTTTATTGTACGAAATCAAACTTATTATTTGCTGTTTAAATTAATAATAAAATAACTAAATTATTTACCAGTTAAAGGTTGACGCTGGTCCAAATTAATCAATTGTGCTAGATGATTTTCATATTCCACAGCAATTTTCACTATGTGAGCATCCTTGACGGGCATCTTTTTTGGTATCATCTTGTTGTTTATTTCACTTTTAGATAATTTTAATGTAAAAATTTTTAATTATTAATGTATAAATTCAGCTTTTTACAAATTTTTTTGAGTTTGTGAAGAAAAAACATCAAAATTAATACAATAAAAATACACTGAAATAACGGGGTTGTAAAATATGTAAACATAAGTAGGTGACAGTAACAGGGTAGTTCATATAAATACAAGTGGTATTAGTAATTTTTATAGCAAAAACATATTCGTGTAGAACTTTTTATCGATATCATAACTAAGTAATGTCTAATAATGGGCCGAACTGGAATAAATTTCACACAATGACTTGTTTTTGTACAAACTATATTCAAGTATAATTTTGTGCTTTACTTTTTTTGGACTTTATAGATTTTCACAAGAAGACTTTATATAGGAGCTATGTTCAATTATGCACCGAGCCTGATTTACGTTTGTAGTACGATTTCTATTGATATTAGATATATATTTGCAAAATTGTAATAATACCGATATTCTAGAAGAAGTTATTTACAATAAATACATTTTGCAGGAGTATGAAAATTTGTATGGGTGCTATATGAAATTTTGAACAGATTCAAATAATTTTCAACCTTGTTAATGCCTGGAGAAAGAAAATACAAATTTGTTGAAATATCTGCCATCTAATCAAGAATAAGGAAAAACTTAATATTTTCAATTTCGGAATTTTTATCATATTTCCATTAGTTATAGAAATATTTACAGATTTTAAATAGAGAACTTCTCATGTTCTGATACAATTATTGAAGATATAGGTACCTTTTAAATTACCAATTTTTTCCCTATAGTACCTATGTATGTATATCCAGGATTAATAAAAACATCATTTTATTTACTTATTTGCTTATATTTAATTGCATATTATAGATTTTTATCTAAAAAATACAAAGATATTTGCCTAAATTTATTTCAAAAATGCCTATTCCACTTTCTCCGTTTTTTCTTAATATTTTTATATGAGTTTATGTAGGTTTTATAAATAACAATTTCTTTTAATTCTTACGAAAACTTAGTAATATGGGATATATTAAATCCAAACATTCTAAAATATCTTTACGTGCCTTCGCTCCCGTAAAAACAATTTTACCATTGACAAATATTAACATAACCATACGTGGTTTAACCATACGATATATAAGACCCGGAAACAATTCCGGCTCATATGAACTAAATTGGCCATGGACTTGATTGAGATTTTCCAAACGTATGGGAAAACGTAAATCGACTGTTGCCACTATATTCTGTAAACGAAATTCGGTAAATTTAACAGGATAGCCCAGTTTCTGTATGATGCGGGCAAATTTTCGTGTACCCAAAGAAGCTTCGTCTTCGTTGCGTGCTCCAGTGCAAATAATTTTACCCGTACGAAATATTAAGGCTGTGCAACGTGGCTCACGCATGCGCATAACAACACCATGAAAACGTGATGGTGTATATTCGGAATTACGGGTGCGATTGTTAATATCTTGTAGATTTAATTCGCAGGCCAGAGACACAGTGGCTACTACATTTCTAGAAAATCACGAAAATTGTTATTTGGCGTCTTAATACAAACAGTGAGGCGAAGTCTTCCATACTTACTGTAATTTAACATCATGTTGTGGCTCATTTGGGTCTACAGTTTGTGTGGCTGGCTGTTGTGGTTGTATACTAGAGTGTGGATTGATCTATAGCAGAAAATGTCTAATAATTTATTTCCTTTCCTTGTGTTTATTTTTTTTTTTACTTTACCTTTTGTTGGCTGTTGGTTGCTGCTGTTGTTCCCGTTTCCATATTTAAAAAATTCTTCTATATATTCAAACAAATATTCTCTAGTATTTTATCTATTTTATATTAAATTTTATTTCATAGTTTTGAAAATGTAAAAAAATGTGAAAATTAAAATTTTGTATTATTTTCTCTTCTTAATTGTTGTTTACGTCCAGCTGTTCTGTCGAAAATGACAGGAGAAAAAGCATGTGTTTATTAGGTGTGGCAAATTCTGCGATTTTTTAACTAAAATTTGGTGAGTCATATATTAATTATTTCACTTTAATTTTCGCCTCCGTAATTAAGATTTGTCAATCCGTTTGCAATTTCTAATCCTATAAAGTATATGTATTCCGGGTCCTTATAGATAGCGGAGTCGTTTTAGCTATGTCTGACTAACCATATAGGTATATGTTAAAATTATTTTTCAGAAAATCACAGATATTTGCTTGATCCGAATCTTCAATAATTCTATCAGACTTGTTTTCGAAAAGTTCTTTATTTAAAATCAGTAAAATCGGACCACAAATAATAGTCCGATTATTAGAATCGGTTCAAATCATATGACTTCCATACAAATAACCATAATCCCGGAAAATGGATTTGTTATCAAAAACTCCCTCTAGAATATCGGTATTATTGCAACATTTTACATATATAAATCTAATACCAATAGAAACCGTATCACTTACTAAAACCTGGATCGGTTCATAATTGGCCATAGCACCCACATATAGTCCACTTCCGAAAATCAATTCAGCGAACATAATTCATAATTAATTAATTTTTATTTTAACACTAATATGTTTCGCACATACACATGTTATTCAGCGTAATTACATATTTCTGGATCAGCTCATAATTAAAAGCCTTGTAAAAATCTGAAAATCGTCAATAACTCATTTAATAATGTTGTCGGGAATAAAAAAATGTAGTTTTTAAAAAATACTCCCTAGTATACAACACTTATAAAAGTCAAATCAAAACACTTGTTATTATTACGAAAAGGAGGATAAAAAACAAAGAATAAAATAGAATAACAACAAAGAATAATAAAAAATACAACAAATTTGGAGAGCAAAACAAAACTTAACAATAAACCGGTAAATAAAAACAAAACGAATAACAGCTGAAGCTATTCCATAGTTGTAAAAACTAGTATTATAGCTTACAAAGTTGTAAAATAAAAGTATAAATTGCATTTGAAAAAAGTACTTATTAGATAAAAAAGTAATTAATAACATTTCATTTGATTTCAACAAAATATAAATAAAAATACCATTTTGGAATTAATTAAACATATAATTTTCAAAATAAATAATTTTTATGAAATTTTTGAACTAAAAAAATTAAATTTAGTGTTTTTTAACACAATAACTATTATATTTTAAAGTCTAACTATTTCAAATTTAATATTATTCATTATTTGTTTAATTCTTAAGAATTAAACAAAATTATTTAACATTTTTTAAAAAAAGTTGTAAAAGTTGCATATACTTAGTTGAAACCCTGGTAAATACAGCTGTTAATACGGAATTTCACAACGCTGATTCATCAATTTTTTCTGTCATAAGTGAAAAAATGTCGGCTCATAGTGGTGGTTCTACGGACTGGAGTTCCGTGGTTAAACCACTTTTAAACAATCGTTATGGAGTTTTAAATAAAAATGAAATTCTCAATATCATTAAGGCCATCACCCGGTGGTAAGTACAAAAAGAATTTCCAAAAAATTCCATCTACATGCAGAGAAAATTGCAAATGAAAATTTTTGCAATTTGTGTTGTCTCACCTTAAAAATCAAAGATGGCGACCGAACAAAGGAAAAATGAAATTTTTCTTGACAAATATTGTGTGAATTGATGTTTAAAAAGTTTTTCTTTGGGATATTATTTTTTCATTTACTTGCAGTGAAAATGAACTTTTTGATGAGGAAAATAATTATTTGCAGTTTTATACGGCTTTTGCTGCTTTAGCTGCTGAAAAATTAAGTCAATGCAAACTTGGTAAGTATATGTACATACATACATATGTAGTTGTATTTGTTTTATTGCAAAAGATGATAGAAGAAAATTTTCTGTATAACAGGGTGTTTCATGTGAGATTGATTCTTTTTTTTTTGTAATTTCTGCAAGTGCATTAATAGATCAATATGTCATATTTTATACCCAATAGGAAAAATTTACATGAGAGTTTTGTAATTGTAGTAGAAATTGTATGTACAGTTTTAAATATTAACGGAGTTTTAATCAGTTTGATGAGTTCTATCAAACGTTCTAATAGCCCTCCAAAGTTTTGATATATAATTGGACATATCTCAATAACTAATTATCCGATATCAGTATCGATGGAAAGGTCGCCGAAAAACCGTTATTTTTATGTATTTCATATTAAAACATTGTGAGGCAGTGTAGAATTTTATTTGTTGTAATTTTGCCTTTACAAAAGTACCGTTATGTTAAAGATATATACATAGATATAACGTACATTTGTGGACAACATTTAGGGCTTTTATATGATATATTTATAGTAGTCTTAATCCATGTGTTGCTGGAGTTATGTATTAATTAGATATGTATATCCAATTCTATATCAAAACTTTGGAGTCCTAAAACTCCCGGCCCTGAATTGAGCAATATGTATCCATATTTGCACTGAGGAGAAAACGAACTATCATGTGGTATACAAATGTTGTTAAGATCAGCTGACATATAGAGCCATGTTCCGGAACAATTTTAATATATTTGAAATATTAGTAGGTATATAGATAAAATTTTAAACATATTCAAAATTCTCAAACCCCGGTTGGTTATTATGTATAATTAAATAATCTCATTCTAAATTAATCTATTTGTAATTATAACTTTTTATGTACATAAATAGAACTTATTATACATTAAATTTATTTGTAATACTGACTAATAGATGAAATATTTAATAATTTTATAAATTGCAATAAATGAACACAACCTCGTATTTTTTAACACAATCTCCCTCTACAGAAACTTATTCACATTTATACATCTAGAATAGATTTAAGAGAATGACTAGAAAAGATTTTCCCCATTGTGATAATAGAAAATCAACAATATTTTTTCCAAAAATTAAAATTTTTCTTCTAGTATCCCAAACACAAGTACCACACATTCATGAGGCATGCGCCATTCTAATACGTTTCATTATCTTACGTTTGAGTAAGGTCAGTGTATATGAAATCAAATGGTTATTGCCGGCTCTAAAAAGTCTTTGCGAAGGCAAAACAAATACACAAACAACCACAAATGGCAGTAATACAGCCTCAAATGCAGGCTCTGCAAATGCTTCAATAACTGGCATTAGCAGTGGTGGAGGAGGAGGAAATACTTTACAATTTGATTATAATATTGTGACATCCGTATTAAAATCAAGTAAATATCCAGAAAATACTAAAAGTATTGTATCGACCAGCAGTTCCGCCGGAACAGGCAACAATGCAGGCGATAAAGATTCACCAAAATCGGAAATAAAAAGATCACGTTCAGATTTATCTTCAATAATCATACAACAATTGACAGCACCTTTGGAAGCGGGTAAAATAACATGGGCTCCGCTGAGCGAAGAACAAACAGATTGTTCGGTAAGTTGTTTGCTATAAGATTAGTTTTAATTTATTTTTTTAATTATTTATGTATAAAATGATATTCTTTAGGAAATGTTCTCCGCTTCAAATACCTCTTATTTACAATCCCTAAATGGAGCAGACTTAATATTAGATGTCTGCTCTTCTTTACCCATATTGACACGTTATCGTCTCAAATACCAAGAGACTATAGCAAATTTAGCTGGAAAACCCTTGTATCTACCTTTGACACAAGTTGAAGCTACACAAATTAAAAATACTTTAACCCATATGGTCACGGACATATCGATTCTTTCGCAAGCCTTGACTTTACCAATTTTACAGCCTTTGTCACCCAGTCGTATAGCTAAGTTATCAAAATGCGCCATTTCTGCTTTGTACTGTGCAGTTTTGACTTCTATAGCCAGCAGTGTTTTAAATATGTCTTCATCGACCGGTAGCACCAAAACCCAACAAACCTCGTCGGCAGCAGCTGGCTCTACTGCTTCGGCTTCTACACAAACATCCGTCAAAGATGCGGATGATAATGAAGAAAATGCTCGTTTTATAGTGGATAGAGCTTTGGAAATTTATACCACTATAGGTTTAATGTTTAAGAACTCTGCTCGTTCTCATATTTATCAAAATCATTTGTGCTTTGGTGCCTGGTTGTTGGTTAGTGGTATACAAGGAGCTTTAGGCGCTTCGGGCAGTTCTAATGCAGGCCTTAATAAAGAAGATATTAAGCAATCGAAAACAAAAGCCTCTGAATCTCTTCAAGCAACACCACCCACAGCTTCGGCTAGAGTAAATCTATTTAAGGTGCAACAGGGTTTTGGTGTCTTAAATGCCGCCATAGCCAATCATTGCATTAAACTTTTGACGGAACTTATAGAAGATTTAAAAATTGAAACAACTTCATCCTTGGATATGCCACCAGCAACTGGAGGACAGGCAAACACTTTGCCGGAACCAGCAAATTTCGATGTTTTGGAAAACTACTCCACTCTTCAAAGAGTAATGCGTGTTTTGAACACTGCCACCTTACATCAACTCTTTACCTTCTTGGCCACAGTGACCTATCGTAAGGCCTGTAACTTGAAACGTTCTAATGCTAAAGATCGTACAGAATGTGAACCTATCAGCTATTCTGATTCTACAACCTATTTCAATGATACTCTCTCCTGTTCGGACAATTCCGAAGAAGATGATAGTGAAAGTTATTTGGGTCATTGGTTTAAAGAAACTCTACAGCCCGAATCAAATGAAGATAATAATTCAGCCGAAGCTTCAGAGCGTAATAATGAAGCACAAAAATCTAATTTAGTGCCAGCTCTAGATGAACCTCATGAATATTTGGATTTGGCTGCACAGATTTTCTCTTTTATGGATCAGTTTTTCTCACAAAAACATTCATATTTGCAACGTTATGTTAAGGCCGGTTTGTCCGATCAACAAATGCTTTTAATGGCTAATATATTAAAAGATTTAGATCGTGATTCGGCAAGAGGAGAAACTGAAGCAGCTCCTTGCAATAAATGGCAATCGGCTATGATAAGATTTTCAGGTGCTGTAGGACGTTATTTGCATAATTTGATTTCAGCCTCACTTTTAAGTGAATCATTACAATCTAATCTTTTGCAACATCTGGGCGTGTCACCCTGGTCTTCGGATACTAATACTTGGCCTTTACAAGTGTATCCCAGCACACTTTCAGTTTTGGTGCAAATTTTGCTACTTAAACCCACACAAGAAAAGGAAGCTGCTTGTCTCTCGGTTTGGCATCGTTTAATAAACACTTTAGTAGAGGGAGTTTGTGGTACTTCATCAACAAATCCTCCCACTAATGTAGATTATGAAGACCTTAACATGGAACATGCCCAACTGCTACTGTTCCTTTATCATTCGTTAAATCTCATGCAAAAGAAATCTATACTTTTGCTAACAGCTGGTGGTGTTATACGTTGTGCAGAAGTTTGTCGTGATATATCCGCCGAGAAACCTATACGAAACAGTCAAATGATGTTGTTATCACGTCTGTTATTGTTTTTGGAATATTTAATGAAACATTTGTATAATGCCCCACCCGAACTATTGGATCAAGTGCGTTGGAATCTTTTCAGCATTAGTACCATGCACGAAAATCAGAAGATATCGGATTTACTTAATAATAAAACCAAACTTACATCATTTTGTCGTAAAGATATTGAAGATGAGTTCCGTAAAAATTGCATGTCAAGTAAGTAAATGGTTTACACTTAGTTATTCAATAAAGATTATTAATAAATCTCTTGTATTTTTTCCAGATATACGACCCACTTTCTATTCTCTAACCATTGTCAATGATTCTGGCTCATCTTCTGCTGTTCAAGATTTCAAATTGGATGGTCTAGCTTGGAATTTTATCTTATGTACACCAGACAAACTCAAATATCCTCTATTGGTGGATGCTCTTATCGATATTCTAAGCATTACGGATATGACCTTATCATGGCATTCCCGCGATAGTACTCATACTCTTTGCGCCATACGCTATTGCTTTGGTATATGTTGGAAATTACTATTGGGTTTACCACCTTCTACAACACACGTAGAACAATTACAACTGGATAAAGTACCCAATTTACATTCACTTATTTGGTCTATACGTTGTCCAACATCACACTATTTAATCGTCAATAGTTTGATTAAACAGGGCATGTATACACAATTTGCCGAAACTTTATGGAATAATATATCGGATCGTGTTAGTGATATACGTTTCAGTCTCAAGCAGACTATTATGGGCATAGAGGCCTGTAATGAGCACATTAATAAGAGTAAGTTTTATTTAAATTTGCTTAACTTTTTATATGTATGTACATCGGGTACGCTGGAAAACAGGTTTCATACCTTATAATTCGAATAGAGAGGAACAAAACAAAGATTTAACTTATGTACTTTCTAGGGCAAAGACAAATAATTATAATGAATTACTGCCTTAGAACTACTCATATCTTAACCGAGTTAAAATTAAATAGAACCTTTAAGTAGATCATTGTGATAAGTCCAATGAATAAGATTATGCAGTGATAGTTTTTTAATTAAACTAGCCGATAAAATTAGTGAAAAGTCTGAAGAACTAGAGTAAGGAATAAGCTACGTTCTATCACTTAAATCAGTAGATTTCATTTATAATTTAAGAGATATCTTAGACTAAAGTTTTCAAAGTGCTTTTTTGTCATATGCGCGACGTTATAACATGGAGAAAGCACCTTTATTTACAAAATTTGTTATGTCATGGCTTCAATATAAATGTTTAACCTCTGCTATATTGTGTTCCTTCTGTAAGATATCTATATGTAGTTTGAAACGAAAACGCAGGCGAATATAAATTGAAAATATATACTTTGTGGGGCTACGTATGAAACTGATCGGAATTTCTCTATCACATATTCTACAGACAGCTGTGGCATTTTAACTTACTTACTTACTTACTTACTTACTTACTTACTTACTTACTTACTTACTTACTTACTTACTTACTTACTTACTTACTTACTTACTTACTTACTTACTTACTTACTTACTTACTTACTTACTTACTTACTTACTTACTTACTTACTTACTTACTTACTTACTTACTTACTTACTTACTTACTTACTTACTTACTTACTTACTTACTTACTTACTTACTTACTTACTTACTTACTTACTTACTTACTTACTTACTTACTTACTTACTTACTTACTTACTTACTTACTTACTTACTTACTTACTTACTTACTTACTTACTTACTTACTTACTTACTTACTTACTTACTTACTTACTTACTTACTTACTTACTTACTTACTTACTTACTTACTTACTTACTTACTTACTTACTTACTTACTTACTTACTTACTTACTTACTTTTTGCAGCTAATCCTCCTCTATCATATATTGTACTATTGGACGCATTACTCTCGCATATGCATGCTATAGCCTGGGCTGAAAAAGAGGGTATTAAACCCCTAAGAGCTTCAGCTTCGAGTGGTGCTGCCGCTGCAAGTCCTACTACTTCTGGTAATTCTCCAATATCAGCTGGAGGTTCAGCAAATAATGATGAATCGTACGCATCTACCGCTTTTGATAGCAATGAACAAAAAGGTGATTACGGCAACAATTCTGCAGCCCTACATGAAAGGCAACAATCGAGCAAAGAACTGCTACAAATGTTAGTAAACACCTTCTATATCTTGAGAGATATAATAAGACACAAAATGGTACAAATACTACCCTTGGCCAATACAACACCAGACAATATACTAGAGTGTATTTTATGTATTGTGAATTCGAAAAATTCCTATTGTTCGGAATTAAGTGAACAATTTTTAAAATTGTTAGATAATAAAAATAAGGAGGTTATAACCGGAGATTGGACTGAATTTTTACCGGTATCGGAGAGCCTTATAAGCAATACCACCAATACACAACAGTATCCGGTGGAGGAATACACTTTATCGGTTATCGAAGCTCACATTAAAGAATTGACTCATGACAACTACTACTCCACTTTGAATTCTTTCAAGCATTGTCTGAAAAGTTTATTTAGTTTAATGAATTTACTATTGAACTCCAGTCAACAAGATGCTGCTTGTATAACATTTGTTGAGAATTTACTTAAACCAATTATTATTGAAACTATCATGGATGCACGCATGGAATACGTCTATGACATTAGTGAAACTTGCTGGCAGACACTAATGAAAGGAGTGGAACAAGCACAAGATCAACAACAATTAATGTCTTATAAATATATATTAAAATATCATTATCGTTTCCTTATGGAATATGCTGACGAAATGAGAAGTCCCTCCGCCTCTTCCAGTCAAAGTGTTATTTTCAATGAATCATTATTATTTGCAGTTTTAAAATCAATGACTCAAATGTTAGAAAAACCCATGGGTGTGAAAGCCATTCGCCAATTCTTTACACAAAAAACCAATGAGGACAATACAGCAGCTAAGACACCCAGCTTGGTGGATTTGTTGCTATCATTTACTGGAACTAATCTGTCCATGTTGTATGCTCGTAAATTGTTGCAATTTATAGAGAAATTATTCCAAACAGCACAACAACCAGATTCACTATTTCCACAGGAAGAATTGATACAATGCTTTGCAGAATTATCTAACATAGAACAGCAGCGCATAAAATCATGGTTGACTCATATAATTTATGGGCCACAGAGCGCTCAAAGTTCTTCCCAACAGTTGGACACACAAATTGAAAAATTGCCTACTACCACAGGCACGGGAGCGGCAGCAACAACCTCTAGCACTCCCTCAAGCAATGCCCAGACACCCACAAATATGGCCACCAATTCAGCCATACCCAGTTTATCCGAACAATTGGGTAATCAATCCTCAGCCTTGGATAATGCCGAAGCTATGGATATAGACGATGACAATGCCACTGGAAATGCTACACAACCAGTAGCTCAACAAAGCAGCCTCCAGACAGTACAATCTTTAAGTTTGTGGCCTCAGCCTCCTACTCCTGGCAATAGTTTCATGGCAACAAACCAGTCGGAACCCATGTCAACACAAGACGATCAATTGGCCCAACAACAGCAATCAGAACGTAATGGCTGTTTGTTGTTAAATGTCATTAAATACATAGTACAGGATGGTAAAGGTGGTCCCAATGGAGTAGCCATGCTACTTTTCCAATCCCTGCTACAACTGGGTCAATCTCTTATAACACCCTCTCCCCAAGAAACTAATGATTTCTCTGACATTTTACAAATCATGATCTGCTTGGCCGATTGTGCCCAGGGTAAAGGACATTCTACTCTTTTTAATGCCACCATTATGTGGTTGGAAATAACAAAATTCCAAGTATTAGAAAAAGCACAAACTCTTACGTGTTCCCTCATAATGCCCTCAACTCTACTAGAAAATATTAATGCCCTCTTGAGGTATCTACACGAATTGCTACAAAGTCTAGGCTATCGCGGCAGTAAATTTCAACAGCAACCTCCCTGGGATGATGATATACAAACGGATTTAGAAGATCTAATGGACGATTTGGCCAATGATCAACAGGGCGATGAAGATTCCTTTGTGGAAGATTCCGACGAAGACAGTCTCAACAATAAATTATGTACTTTCTCATTGACCCAAAAGGAATTTATGAATCAACACTGGTATCACTGCCACACCTGTAACATGGTAAACACTGTGGGCGTTTGTTCTGTATGTGCCCGAGTTTGTCATAAAGGTCATGATGTCAGTTATGCTAAATACGGCAATTTCTTTTGTGATTGTGGAGCTAAAGAGGATAACACCTGTCAAGCTTTGCGCAGACGTTTGGCTACCGGTCTCTCAGGCTTAGAGTCTAGGCAACAGAATGAGTACTCGTCCTCTTCCGGGAACTACAATAATTCTTCAAGTTTGTCACAATCGAAACGTTCACAAACACCTCCTACCCAGAGTTGTTTAACAACACAGCAACAAGGTCAAAGCAGTAATGCCGGTTTTGGAGCATCCAATACACCCGGATCAGGCTCTAATTTCCTAACATCCACTTCACTAACCAACGAGCGTATTTCTTTATTATCAAAACTTTTGGAATCTTCCAAAGAAAATCTACAAAATGCCGAACAATGGACAGTGATTGTGAAATGTATACTCGATTTCTTCGATGTACTAATGCCTGCCATTAAGGAAAATTGCGATCTCTTTTCTATAGTTGGCTGCCATAAGAGAGCAAAGGCAGCCTTATTGCGTCTACACATGGGTGAACAAACTTTCCAACATACTGATCAGTTAATGCAGCCAACATTGGGCTCTCAAGAAGGAGCCTTTGAAAATGTGCGCATGAGTTATTCCGGCGACCAAGGACAAACTATTAAACAGCTGTTGTCTTCGGGTCTAGTACGAAGAGTAGCCTTATGTTGTCTATCCTCACCACATGGCAAGCGCCAACATTTGGCGGTATCTCATGAAAAAGGAAAAGTCACCATTTTACAATTATCTGCACTACTTAAACAGGCTGATGCCGCTAAACGGAAACTAACTTTGACTCAACTATCATCGGCTCCCATACCGTGTACGGTCTTATCTTTAACCGCCAATCCTGCCAACGAGGATTACTTAGCTGTTTGTGGCCTGAAGGAATGTCATATTTTGACCTTTACCACTACGGCTGCCACAAGTGATCACATTGTTTTAACTCCCCAATTGGAGAATGGCAATTTTATTAAAAAGGCCCTCTGGTTGCCGGGTTCACAAACTATGTTGGCTTTGGTCACCGCAGACAATGTTAAAATTTATGAACTCTCCGAAGATACTTATAGTCCCAAATACTACTTCTTGGTAGCCGTGGGTAAAATACGCGACTGCTGTTTTGTTTATCAGGATGGTGTCTATTATATGTTGATTATAGCCTCCTCGGGCTATATCTACTACCAGAAATTGGACGATCAATCCTTGGCCAAACATGGTGATTTCTATGTTACTAATACTCTAGAATTAAATCACATACAAATCAGAGATGTTAATGGTCAAGTAGGTGGTGGTGGAGTCTCCATTTACTACTCACACATCTTACAAATGCTGTTCTTCAGTTATTCGGTGGGCAGAAGTTTTGTTGCTCCTCTAACCGATGTCAACAAGGGTGTTAAGTCTATTACCCATTTACAAACATCACCAGCTTCAAAGAATTCTTCTAAGGGTCCGCCCCAACCTTTGTGTCAATGGACTGAGATACCCGGCCATCCTGGTTTAATATGTGCCATGATGCACACTTCCAATAATCCAGTTATATTCATGTTTACACCCGATCGCATTATAATGCAAGAGATAAAGGCTCAATCTTCAAAATCACGCATTATGGACATGGTGGCCATACGTCATACGGTGGCAGGTGTAGAGAAAACTACCCTTATATTACTTTGTGAAGATGGTAGTTTAAGAATTTTCACTGCTCATCAAGAATCTACATCATTTTGGTTATCGCCTCAAGTACAGCCGCTCAGCAATCAATTGTACACCTCCAGCTTAAGCAATCGAACACCTTGTTCGGGCAATAATGCCAAGAAATCTAAACGTAAATCAAGTCATCAACAGAAAACCATAGGACCCAATGGCAATCCCATATTCCCTATAGATTTCTTTGAACATTGTACCATGTTACCCGATGTAGACTTTGGTGGTAATGATTTGTTGCAGATCTATAACAAACAAAAACTGAAATCACGACTTTTCTCTAATAACGGCATGTTTGTGGCCTCCACCAAAAGCACAGGCTTTACTTTGGAGGTCTACAATAATGATCCCAATATGGTAATTGTGGGTATACGTGTCTTACTAGGCACACAAGATCCTCATCGTACGCCCCAAAGTGTTACAATTTTGGGCAGAACTATACCTACACCGGTGCGCCGGGCTCGCTGGTTTGATATACCCTTGACCCGTGAGGAAATCCTGCAATCGGATAAATGCTTGAAAGTAGTATTTGGTAAATCACGTGACCCTGAAAATGTCAGCATGCTGGATTCCATAGAGGTTTATGGTAAATCTAAAGATTTGGTAGGCTGGCCAGATGATACCGATGAAGTGGCAGGCGGTCAGACTACAACAAATGTTGCCGCCAATGGCACCAACACCACCGCTAATTATGGAGCAATGGGTTCTTCAACCACCACCTATGAGGGTTATAACTCTATAACACAACTTGATAAAATGGTAACTATTTTACTCGAAGTACTCGATTGTTCTCTAAGTCTTTTGGGTCAAGGAAATAGTGCTGTACTCTCAGCAGCTATTAAACAAAAAGCCACTAAGACAGCTACATCATTGTTGCTGTTGCCCACAGCTAATCAAGTGCAAGTACAATCCCGCTATGTTTTGGCCACACTGTTTGGCAACCGTCAGGCCTATCACAACTACAAAGATTATGAAATGTTGGTGTATGTCCATAATGAATTACAGACTTTAAAAACAAAACTTGACTCTCGGGAAAGTTTACGGGATATTGATCCCGAAGCCTTTTACCGTTTGGTTCTAATGGTACGCGGTATTGCCACCGCCAGACCACAGAGTCTTACGAAAATATGTCTCGACAATAAATTCGAAATTATTTCCGATTTAATGGAATTTGTAGAAAAACTATATGAAATTACACCCGAAATTGATGAACCAACTTCGATGGTCAGACAGGGTCTCTCACATACCGAAACTATAGTCCATTGTTTAGTGGAAATAATGCATGCTTTTGCTTTGGCCGATATAAGTCAAGTGGAACGTGTTACTTTAATGTTTATAGCTTTGCTAAAAAATGAATCCAGTGTTATATCGCACAGTGCTAAAGAAGCCATCATTTTAAGATTAAGTCCCAGAGCTAAAAGACGTAAGGTGGCAATAATAACACCACCAGTGTGTTCAACACCCACACCACCAGCACTATCCACCACTACATCTGTTAGTCGACCTGTGGTTGGTTCAGTGCCCAGTAATGAAGATGATGCTTTAGACGAGGCGGCCGGTATAGTTAATCCTGCGGTGGCAGCTGTTGGAGGCGGTTCATCATCACCACCTTCTTCGGTGCAACGCAGTAGTAGCTCGGAATATGTAGCTGGTGCAGGAGCTGCAGCCAATGATCCCAACGTTATGGTCGATCCCTTAGAGGCGTTTATGGGTAGTGGTTTTCCACAATTACTCGGTTTACAACAGGATGCTGATGATGAAGCCATAATGGATATTGCTATAGCTTTAAGTCTACAGCAACACGATGCTCCCGGCGGTGAGCCTGGTTTACAACATTTGCAACAGGGTCTTTCTAATCTGCAAGGTATGCGTAATGCTGCCGCTCAATTGCAACATGCACAACAACAATTACAAGGTGTAAACGCAGCTGGTGGTGGTAGCGCTGCTGTTGTTGGTAGTGCCGGTGGTGTTGGTGGAGGCGTTGCTGCTTCCTCCGCAGCTGGCTCTGACGATGAAGGTTCTAATGTTGCTACCGATGGTTCAACACTGCGCACCTCTCCCGCCGAACCGGTGGGTAGTGGTGGTTCCGAAAGTGGAGGTAGTGGCGTTGAATCAATTGGAGGAACTTCAGGACGTAGCAGTACCTATGGTGATGGTGGCGCTACTGCCTCACCACCTCGTGCCAGCGGTGTTAGTTTAGCTAGCGGCAGTAGTGTGGTAAAAGGTGCTGTTGGTGGCTCACTATCTAGTGCAGTTATTGCTGAAATGCCTACTACAAGTCGTGCTGCATTGGAAGCGAGTCATAGTAATGATACAGAAGAAAATGATGCTACCGATGATGAGAAATTAGCCAAATTGCATGATTTAAGGTAAATTTCTTTTAATTCCATAAAAAAATTGTCGAAATACATTTCTGATTAATTCCTTTTTACAGAATTGCTATTTTGGAAAGTATTATCTCAAATATCAACACACTGGATGACTGTAATGGTTTGCAAGCCATACCATTAATACAAGTTATACTCATGTTGACCACCGACTTGAATGGCAACAATGAACGTGATCAAAAGATACTCAATGATCTATTAACAGCTTTAGTGGATTACGTTGAAATGGATTCTATACCTACAGCCTCCAAGGTATGCAGATTATAAATAACTAAATACAAATTCTTGCAAATTTGCCTAAATTAAACCTATTTTCAGATGAAAGACAAAAGTCAAAAGAATGAAGTACGTCTGGCGTTACTCTCCCTATTTGGCGTTCTTATGGGTAAAACTAAATCCAAACAAGCTGGCACCACTTCACCACCTCATCAATTCAAAGATAATGCCTCATTTGTGGCCAGTACTACTGCTAGTATAATGAGCAACAATGGTGCATTTACTTTCTGTTTGGTCGTAATGGAATCATTGCAGCAGCATTGGAAACGTGTCTCAAATGAAAATGCCAACAATTTGCCAAGTGGTGCTGTAAGTGCTATTGCCAGTGGACCGGGTAATAATGCCAGCACCCCAGTTGTTACCGGTTCTGCAGTAACACCTTCACAAAATAGTCTTTTAAAACCAGTACGCTATGGTCCCAAACCGGATTTGTCTACACTAATACCACATAATTATCTCAAAAATTATCCCGATATATTTGAATCGTACGATGCTCTATTAACTGAAATATCCGTACGTTTACCTTATCAAATTTTACGTCTATCTGCCACTCATCCTGGCACCTATGATTGGTATCATGATTATTGTGAAAACATGACCTACACCTTGTGCGAATATATGATGCTTAATTTGAATGCTTTGTTGCGAAGACAAGTACGCAAGCTGTTAATGTATATCTGCGGCAATAAGGAGAAATTCCGTATGTTCCGTGATGGTCATTCGTTGGATGTACACTTTAACTATGCTAAAAATTTGTGCAATCTTTATAATACTGTTGTGAGTATGAAATTTGAATACACATTTTTAATAGGTCTGTTCACTTAATTTTCCGAGAGAGAGTTAAATTACTTATTCTCTTAAATCATCTAAAATATCGTTTTAGAAACTATATTTATATAACTTTTGGTACAAATGGTTAAAGACTGTAGGCGTCTTAGATAGACTTGTATATCGATATAAAAACAACGATATAACTATATCGATATGAAAAAGATCGACAAAAAATAGATCGAATTAGATCGATATCAAGTAGATCGATATCAAGAAGATCGATATCAAGTATATCGATATCAAGTAGATCGATATCAAGTAGATCGATATCAAGTAGATCGATATCAAGTAGATCGATATCAAGTGGATCGATATCAAGTAGAGAGATATAAAGCTATATATAGCTCTAAAAATAAAAATATATCGATATAAAAGTTGATCGATATAAAATAGATAGATAGATAGATAGATAGATAGATAGATAGATAGATAGATAGATAGTAGATAGATAGATAGATAGATAGATAGATAGATAGATGATAGAACATAGATAGATAGATAGATAGATAGATAGATAGATAGATAGATACATAGATAGATAGATAGATAGATACATAGATAGATAGATAGATAGATAGATAGATAGATAGATATATAGATATATGATAGATGATAGTATTAGATATCTCTCCTCGCTTGCTCGCTCGCTTGCTCGCTCGCTTGCTCGCTCGCTTGCTTGCTCTCTTGCTCGCTCGCTCGCTCGCTCGCTCGCTCGCTCGCTCTCGCTCGCTCGCTCGCTCTCTCGCTCGCTCGCTGCTCTCGCTCGCTCCCTCGCTTGCTCGCTCGCTTGCTCGCTCGCTTGCTCGCTCGCTTGCTTGCTCTCTTGCTCGCTCCTCTCTCGCTCGCTCGCTCGCTCGCTCGCTCGCTCGCTGCTCGCTCGCTCGCTCGCTCGCTCGCTCGCTCGATCGCTCGCTCGCTCCGCTCGCTCGCTCCCTCGCTCGCTCGCTCGCTCCTCGCTCGCTCGCTCGTCTCCTCCTCGCTCGCTCGCTCGCTCGCTTCGCCTCTCGCTCGCTCGCTCGCTCTCATCCTCGCTTGCTCGCCTCGCTTCCTCGCTCGCTTGCTTGCTCTCTTGCTCGCTCGCTCGCTCCGCTCGCTCAGCTCGATCGCTCGCCTCGCCTCGGCTCGCTCGCTCGCTCGCTCGCTCGACTCGCATCGCTGGGCTCTCTCCTCCTTGCTCGCTCGCTTGCTCGCTCCGCTTGCTTGCTCTCTTGCTCGCTCGCTCGCTCGCTCGCTCGCTCGCTCGCTCTGCTCGCTCTCTCGCTCGCTCCGCTCGCTTCGCTCAATAGATAGTCAACAAATTTTGCAGAAGGATAAAAAAGGAAGATCCTTTTTGGCCTGCGTAATTATACGTTTTTAACTTTACCAAACTCTTTGACTTAATGAACACATTTCCAGTAACAATTTGTAATAATTCATAGCAATTTTTAGTTATTGAACAGGCCTAATGTTTATTTTGATATCAATTAATCAATCAATCTACTTTTCTATTCGAAACCTTCCCACCTCACAGAATATGGTCTTAACAAATCAATCTATACCCATTCTAAGTTACGACTCACTCGTCGAGTTTACCGAACATCTAAGAACATGCCAGGAAATAAGTCAAATACGCACTGGAAATTGGCAAAAATTCTGTCTCATTCACGAAGATGTCATACCAGTTCTCATAGAAATTGCCTGTTATCAACTGGATGATGGTGTTTCACCCATAATATTACAACTTTTACAAGCAGCCCTCTGCAATAATATACAAGCTGTTAAGCAACAACAGCAATCAGAAACAGCAAATGGTGCGTCGTCGACAGCCTCGGGTTCAAAAATGCGTTCAGATCGTGATAAATCGGAAGAAATTGAAATGTCTTTCGACTCGAAATTCGATGCTACCCACTGTACAACATTTGTTCATCAGATATTCCGTTTTGTCTCTGATACTTTGTTAAATAAATTTGTGCGTATCTTTTTGTTGGAAACTAATATTACATCCCTAAGATGGCAAGCCCATTCCTTAATTTATGCCATTTATGATTATGCCAATGATAGGCAAAAGGAAAAATTGATTAGCATTTTGTGGAATATGTGGCCTTTGGTGCCACAATTTGGTCGCAGGACGGCACAATTTGTGGATATTTTGGGTTATCTAACCCTAAGCACCAAGACCATAACCGAGCGCCTGCCCGAGTTTACTGAAAAAGCAGTGGAGGTGTTGAGACAACAAAATGATTTGTTAAGCAAACATCCAAATGCTTCGATTTACACGGCTTTGGAACAGATCTTACAAATGAATGGTTATTATTTGGAATCTGAACCCTGCTTGGTTTGTAATAATCCTGAGGTGCCCATGGCCAATATAAAATTGCCCACCATTAAAACGGATACGAAATTTACGACTTGCACCATGATTGTAAAACTGGTGCAATGTCACACCATTTCCAAATTGATAGTACGCATAGCTGACCTAAAACGCACCAAAATGGTGAGAACTATTAATATATATTATAACAATCGCACGGTGCAAGCGGTGGTAGAATTGAAGAACAAACCTGCCATGTGGCATAAGGCCAGAACAGTTACTTTGCAATCGGGACAAACCGAAGTGAAAGTCGATTTTCCTTTGCCCATAACAGCCTGCAATTTAATGATTGAATATGCTGATTTCTATGAAACCGTAACGGGTTCATCGGAGAATCTACAATGTCCACGCTGCAGTGCTGCTGTACCCTCATATCCTGGTGTCTGTGGCAATTGCGGTGAGAATGTATTCCAATGCCACAAATGTCGTGCTATTAATTATGACGAAAAAGATCCCTTCCTGTGTCATTCGTGCGGTTTTTGCAAATATGCTAAATTTGATTTTAGTATTTATGGACGCGTTTGCTGTGCTGTGGATCCTATAGAGTCGGCTGAAGATAGAGCAAAGACCGTGCAAATTATACACTCCTCCTTGGAGAGGGCAGATCGTATTTATCGCCAATTGCTGGCTAATAAACAAATGCTGGAATTATTATTACAGAAATACGCCGAACATGGTTCTTCGGATCGTTTAATGGACGAAAGTTTGGGCACTATACACAGCACTTCCCAAGTGAACAAAATTATACAATTTTTGGCTCAGAAATACTGTGTGGAATCACGTTCTTCTTTCGAGGAGTTGTCCAAGATAGTGCAAAAAGTAAAGGCATGTCGCAGTGAACTGGTGGCCTATGATCGCAGTCAAATGGATCAAACTAACTTGCCTCATACACCCGATAAGAGAGATAATATTAATATCAATAAATGCTATGGTTGTGCTTTAGCATCCACCGAACAGTGTTTAACTTTATTACGGGCCATGGCTTCGAACTATGACTGCCGTTTGGTACTGTATAGCCAAGGTCTAGTAGAAGAATTGGCCCAACATAATCTACGCCGTGGTACAGCCCAAATACAAGATGAAGTACGCAATCTATTGGTTTTATTAACCAAAAACAATAAGGATGCCTGTTTGAATTTACTGGAACTAATAAATGAAAGAGTGAAATCTGCTCTCTTGGGATCCATACCCCTTTCCAACATTGATTCAGCTATTTATCATGAAATGGAGCTGTTAAGAGTTTTGATATCACAAGACGATTTCTGTTGGGAACAAAAACTTAAAATAGTTTTTGAATTATTCCTAAACACCTGTCGTTGTCCACGTGGCCCTGCCTATTCAGTTATACAGCCTTGTTTACACATAATGTTGAAGCTAATATCGCCTACCATACCATCGACTAAACTTAATCGTGACTTAAGCCCTTCGGCCTTGTCCTCCATAAATTGTATAGAAGGTTTGAGTGTTGATTTCCAAAAATGGCTACAAAACGATCCTCAACATTCATTTGAGGCCTGGAAGTCGCGCATGCCCGCCAATACGCTCAAAGATCAAACTAAGAGTTATAAGGCCTTTGTGGCTGCAGCTGCTCAAAACTCTTTGCAAGATGAAAACATTTTGGCAGCGGTATTACAATCTGTGCAATCTTCCGAACAACAAATGATGAACAATAAACCACCCGATAGACAATCCTCACAAGAACCTCCCAACACGCCACCAGCTTCTGCCCAAACGGCTGAAACAAGGGAAGCCCGTAAGAAACAGTCCCGTAAGAAGTATTTGCAAGAGAAATATGGTCAAAGATGGCGTTTGAAGATATTAAATGATGGTAAACCTTTGAAACCTCTGCAACTAACAGCCACCTGGCTGCAGCCCATACTGTTCAATAACAATTCAAGATTCCGTCGGCCTTTGGTGTGCACTCTTATCACTGTGCTCAGTAGGACCCATGATAGAAAGCGAGAGATTTTGAATTTACTTACCTCCTTCTTGAAGTATGTAGGTGAAGCTGGCGAGGCTAGCACAGATTTCCTTTCGCTCTACCGTCTCTTGGCTATCGATACACCTTGGCGCCAATACTTGGCCCTAAAAGGAGTGCTCATAGAAATTTCTCAATTGTTAACAGATGAAATAAAGAAAATACATCGTCTGGAAGAAACTACACTCTCGTCCGATCTTTCACAAGGTTACGCTTTAAGACAATTTGTGGAACTTTTGGCTCTCTTCTTGGAAAATCCCCAGATAAGACAGGTGTACAAAACACGCCTATTGGGGCCAGTTTTGGAGGGTTATTTGTCATTGCGCAAATTGGTTGTGCAAAGAACTCGTCTAATCGATGATGCCCAAGAAAAACTCCTGGAAATGTTGGAGGAAATGACTAGTGGTACGGAGGAAGAAACAAGAGCCTTTATGGAAATCTTAATAGACACTGTAGTAAAGACACCCATGAAGGATATAAAAACTCCAGTCTTTATATTCGAACGTTTATATTCTATAATACATCCAGAGGAAAATGATGAATCTGAATTCTTTATGACCCTGGAAAAGGATCCACAACAGGAGGACTTTTTGCAGGGACGCATGTTGGGTAATCCGTATCCCTCTACAGAACAGGGTTTGGGCCCTCTAATGCGTGACATAAAAAATAAAATATGCACTGACTGTGAACTCATAGCGTTGTTAGAAGATGACAATGGCATGGAATTGCTGGTCAACAACAAGATAATCAGTTTAGATTTGCCCGTAAAAGATGTCTACAAGAAGATATGGTTGGCAGAGGGTGGCGAAAGAGATGCCATGCGTATTGTTTATCGTATGCGTGGTCTTTTGGGTGATGCCACCGAAGAATTTGTTGAGACTCTTAATAATAAATCACAAGAAGAGGTCGATACCGAACAGCTCTATCGTCTCGCCAATGTTCTGGCCGATTGTAATGGTCTCAAGGTTATGCTGGATCGCATAGGCAGTCTACAAAACATAACCCGTTCACGTGAATTGATTCAAGTACTTTTGAAACTGTTCTTAATATGCGTTAAGGTGCGACGCTGCCAAGAGGTGTTGTGTCAACCGGAATTGGGCGCCATTAACACTTTGTTGAAAGTGTTGCAAATGTGCCTACAATCCGAGTCGGATTCTTTGCAATCATCTGTTACCGAACAATTACTGGAGATAATGGAAACCATATTATCGAAGGCAGCCAGTGATACCTTAGATTCTTTCCTGCAATTCTCCTTAACATTTGGTGGTCCCGAATATGTAACAGCTCTTATCTCCTGCACCGAATGCTCAAATGTGCGCAATAATTCTTCGGTGCTTAGACATCTTATACGTGTTTTGGCTGCTCTAGTCTATGGCAATGAAGTTAAAATGGCTTTGTTGTGTTTCTATTTCAAAGACATTTTAGATTTTGATAAATTCGATGCAGAACGCTCGGCAGAGGAAGAATTTAAACTGGAATTGTTCTGTGTGCTGACCAATCAAATTGAACATAATTGCATAGGCGGTACCCTTAAGGATTACATTGTAGGTTTGGGTATAGTGGAGAAGGCAATAGATTATATAACACGTTATGCGCCCTGTGTAAAACCCACATTACTGCGCACCGACTCCGATCAGTTGAAGGAGTTTATCTCACGTCCTTCTCTTAAGTATATCTTAAGATTCCTAACCGGCTTGGCCACCAAACATGAAGCTACTCAGGTGGCTATTAGCAAGGATATTATACCCATAATACACCGCTTGGAACAGGTGTCATCCGATGAACATGTTGGCAGTTTGGCTGAAAATCTTTTAGAGGCTTTATGCACCGACACGGCCACTGCGGCACGTGTACAAGAAGTACGAGACTTTACCCGCGCCGAAAAGAAACGTCTGGCCATGGCCACTAGAGAGAAACAACTAGATGCTTTGGGCATGCGAACCAACGAAAAGGGTCAGGTTACAGCTAAGGGTTCTATATTGCAAAAGATTGAGAAACTACGTGATGAAACCGGTTTAACCTGTTTCATTTGCCGCGAAGGCTACGCCTGTCAACCTGCCAAAGTCTTGGGTATTTATACCTTCACCAAGCGTTGCAATGTAGAAGAGTTTGAGCTGAAATCACGCAAGACTATAGGTTACACCACGGTGACCCATTTCAATGTGGTTCATGTGGATTGTCATACTTCGGCTATAAGATCTGCACGTGGACGTGATGAATGGGAAAGGGCCAGTTTGCAAAATGCCAACACACGTTGCAATGGTTTGCTGCCACTTTGGGGTCCTGATGTATCCGAAGCCGCCTTCTCTGGCTGTATGACTCGTCATGCCAGTTACATGCAGGAGAGTACTCAGCGCTGCGACATTTCCTACACCAACAGCATACACGATCTTAAATTGCTGCTAATGCGTTTTGCCTGGGAGCGCAGTTTCCATGAAGATGCTGGCGGCGGTGGTCCACAGTCGAATATGCATTTTGTTCCCTATCTACTCTTCTATGCTGTCTATCTATTGCTCTCTTCACGCTCTGCTGCACGCGATAGTAAAACCTTACTTACTTATCTTACGGCTGCTGCCTCAGAGAAATGGCTAGAGAGCGCTTATGAGGTAGAGGGGCCTCTCTACATGCTTACCGTATCGTTGGCTCTACACTCTCACGAAACTTGGCAAAAGCATCGTATAGCTCATTTGAAACGTCTCATAGCGGTTGCTCAAGCCCGTCATATATCACCTTCGGTTATATGCAAAGCTCTGCTATCACCTGCCGATCGAAAAGAAAAGGAATATAGCGTTTATAAACCTTTCCTAATGATGTGGGCCATTTTGGATCTCATTTACAACACCCTCTTCAAGAGCGTCGCCACACCCAAAGAGGAGGACTGGTCCATTTCGCTATTCAATTACATTAGGAAAAACGATGAAACTATGTTGAAACATACCGATTCGATTTTGGAAACCTTTACCGATGACTTTTTGCCCTGTACATCCTTTGAAGAATTTTGTGATGTAGCCGGTAAGTTAGTCACAACTTGTGATAAATAAACTTTTTGTTTTAACTTTTTTTGTTTTTTTTTATCCAACACACAGGTCTCTTTGGTGACATTGAAAATCCACAATCGTTTATTGAAGAAGTGTTGCAAACATTACCCACATCGGTACCCGCCTCCTCTTCGTCGTCATCATCTGCTAATTAACAGCCAATAGAGAATGCTGATGAATACCATAGAAATGAACGAATACAAGAATACGAAAACGATATATTAATTACACTCTATAAAATTATTATATGAAAAGAAAATTAAATAAATGAATTTCAATATACAAAAATATATGTTATTAAACCTCTATTAATGTATTGCTTCTATTCACCACATCCATAACTAACACTTAAATATCATATAATCAAGCCTACCCTCCCCAATGCTTAATATTTAAAAAAAAGAAAAAAAAATATTGTAGTTTGTTCATTAACCAAGCACCATTATTCAATAAATTAATTAATTGTTCGCATATATAAAACATATTGTTGTTTTGATTATTTATTTTTTAAAATAGTCTATAGTCTGAACTATAGAATAGTTCATAGTCTGCACTATTAAGTCTATAGTCTGGTCTATTGAATTGTATATAGCCTGATTAAAGAATAGTCTAGAGTCTGAACTATAGAATAGACTAAAGTTTGGACTATAGAATAGTCTATAGTCTTAACTATAGAATAGTCTATAGTCTTAACTATAAAAACTATAGAATAGTCTATAGTCTGGACTATAGAACAGTCTACAGTCTGGACTATAGAATAGTCTATAGTCTGGCCTATAGAATAGTCTACAGTCTGCACTATAGAATAGTCTATAGTATAGAATAGTCTATAGTCTGCACTATAGAATAGTCTATAGTCTGCACTATAGAATAGTCTATAGTCTTAACTATAGAATAATCTATAGTCTGGACTATAGAATAGTCTATAGTCTGGACTATAGAATAGTCTATAGTCTGGACTATAGAATAGTCTATAGTCTGGACTATAGAATAGTCTATAGTCTGGACTATAGAATAGTCTATAGTCTGGACTATAGAATAGTCTATAGTCTGGACTATAGAATAGTCTATAGTCTGGACTATAGAATAGTCTATAGTCTGGACTATAGAATAGTCTATAGTCTGGACTATAGAATAGTCTATAGTCTGGACTATAGAATAGTCTATAGTCTGGACTATAGAATAGTCTATAGTCTGGACTATAGAATAGTCTATAGTCTGGACTATAGAATAGTCTATAGTCTGGACTATAGAATAGTCTATAGTCTGGACTATAGAATAGTCTATAGTCTGGACTATAGAATAGTCTATAGTCTGGACTATAGAATAGTCTATAGTCTGGACTATAGAATAGTCTATAGTCTGGACTATAGAATAGTCTATAGTCTGGACTATAGAATAGTCTATAGTCTGGACTATAGAATAGTCTATAGTCTGGACTATAGAATAGTCTATAGTCTGGACTATAGAATAGTCTATAGTCTGGACTATAGAATAGTCTATAGTCTGGACTATAGAATAGTCTATAGTCTGGACTATAGAATAGTCTATAGTCTGGACTATAGAATAGTCTATAGTCTGGACTATAGAATAGTCTATAGTCTGGACTATAGAATAGTCTATAGTCTGGACTATAGAATAGTCTATAGTCTGGACTATAGAATAGTCTATAGTCTGGACTATAGAATAGTCTATAGTCTGGACTATAGAATAGTCTATAGTCTGGACTATAGAATAGTCTATAGTCTGGACTATAGAATAGTCTATAGTCTGGACTATAGAATAGTCTATAGTCTGGACTATAGAATAGTCTATAGTCTGGACTATAGAATAGTCTATAGTCTGGACTATAGAATAGTCTATAGTCTGGACTATAGAATAGTCTATAGTCTGGACTATAGAATAGTCTATAGTCTGGACTATAGAATAGTCTATAGTCTGGACTATAGAATAGTCTATAGTCTGGACTATAGAATAGTCTATAGTCTGGACTATAGAATAGTCTATAGTCTGGACTATAGAATAGTCTATAGTCTGGACTATAGAATAGTCTATAGTCTGGACTATAGAATAGTCTATAGTCTGGACTATAGAATAGTCTATAGTCTGGACTATAGAATAGTGTATAGTCTGGACTATGGAATAGTCTATAGTCTGGACTATAGAATAGTCTATAGTCTGGACTATAGAATAGTCTATAGTCTGGACTATAGAATAGTCTATAGTCTGGACTATAGAATAGTCTATAGTCTGGACTATAGAATAGTCTATAGTCTGGACTATAGAATAGTCTATAGTCTGGACTATAGAATAGTCTATAGTCTGGACTATAGAATAGTCTATAGTCTGGACTATAGAATAGTCTATAGTCTGGACTATAGAATAGTCTATAGTCTGGACTATAGAATAGTCTATAGTCTGGACTATAGAATAGTCTATAGTCTGGACTATAGAATAGTCTATAGTCTGGACTATAGAATAGTCTATAGTCTGGACTATAGAATAGTCTATAGTCTGGACTATAGAATAGTCTATAGTCTATAGTATAGAATAGTCTATAGTCTGGACTATAGAATAGTCTATAGTCTGGACTATAGAATAGTCTATAGTCTGGACTATAGAATAGTCTATAGTCTGGACTATAGAATAGTCTATAGTCTGGACTATAGAATAGTCTATAGTCTGGACTATAGAATAGTCTATAGTCTGGACTATAGAATAGTCTATAGTCTGGACTATAGAATAGTCTATAGTCTGGACTATAGAATAGTCTATAGTCTGGACTATAGAATAGTCTATAGTCTGGACTATAGAATAGTGTATAGTCTGGACTATGGAATAGTCTATAGTCTGGACTATAGAATAGTCTATAGTCTGGACTATAGAATAGTCTATAGTCTGGACTATAGAATAGTCTATAGTCTGGACTATAGAATAGTCTATAGTCTGGACTATAGAATAGTCTATAGTCTGGACTATAGAATAGTCTATAGTCTGGACTATAGAATAGTCTATAGTCTGGACTATAGAATAGTCTATAGTCTGGACTATAGAATAGTCTATAGTCTGGACTATAGAATAGTCTATAGTCTGGACTATAGAATAGTCTATAGTCTGGACTATAGAATAGTCTATAGTCTATAGTATAGAATAGTCTATAGTCTGGACTATAGAATAGTCTATAGTCTGGACTATAGAATAGTCTATAGTCTGGACTATAGAATAGTCTATAGTCTGGACTATAGAATAGTCTATAGTCTGGACTATAGAATAGTCTATAGTCTGGACTATAGAATAGTCTATAGTCTGGACTATAGAATAGTCTATAGTCTGGACTATAGAATAGTCTATAGTCTGGACTATAGAATAGTCTATAGTCTGGACTATAGAATAGTCTATAGTCTGGACTATAGAATAGTCTATAGTCTGGACTATAGAATAGTCTATAGTCTGGACTATAGAATAGCCTATAGTTTGGACTATAGAATAGCCTATAGTCTGGACTATAGAATAGTCTATAGTCTGGACTATAGAATAGTCTAGTAGTCTGGACTATAGAATAGTCTATAGTCTGGACTATAGAATAGTCTATAGTCTGGACTATAGAATAGTCTATAGTCTGGACTATAGAATAGTCTATAGTCTGGACTATAGAATAGTCTATAGTCTGGACTATAGAATAGTCTATAGTCTGGACTATAGAATAGTCTATAGTCTGGACTATAGAATAGTCTATAGTCTGGACTATAGAATAGTCTATAGTCTGGACTATAGAATAGTCTATAGTCTGGACTATAGAATAGTCTATAGTCTGGACTATAGAATAGTCTATAGTCTGGACTATAGAATAGTCTATAGTCTGGACTATAGAATAGTCTATAGTCTGGACTATAGAATAGTCTGTAGTCTGGACTATAGAATAGTCTATAGTCTGGACTATAGAATAGTCTATAGTCTGGACTGTGGAATAGTCTATAGTCTGGAATGTAGAATAGTCTATAGTCTGGACTATAGAATAGTCTATAGACTGGACTATAGAATAGCCTATAGTCTGGACTAAAGAATAGTCTGGACTATAGAATAGTCTATAGTCTGGATTATAGAATAGTCTATAGTCTGGACTATAGAATAGTCTATAGTCTTAACTATAGAATAATCTATAGTCTTAACTATAAAAACTATAAAATAGTCTATAGTCCAGACTATAGACTATTCTATAGTCCAGACTATAGAATAGTCTATAGTCTGGACTATAGAATAGTCTATAGTCTGGACTATAGAATAGCCTATAGTCTGGACTAAAGAATAGTCTGGACTATAGAATAGTCTATAGTCTGGATTATAGAATAGTCTATAGTCTGCACTATAGAATAGTCTATAGTCTTAACTATAGAATAATCTATAGTCTTAACTATAAAAACTATAAAATAGTCTATAGTCTGGACTATAGAATAGTCTATAGTCTGGACTATAGAATAGTCTATAGTCTGGACTATAGAATAGTCTATAGTCTGGACTATAGAATAGTCTATAGTCTGGACTATAGAATAGTCTATAGTCTGGACTATAGAATAGTCTATAGTCTGGACTATAGAATAGTCTATAGTCTGGACTATAGAATAGTCTATAGTCTGGACTATAGAATAGTCTATAGTCTAGACTATAGAATAGTCTATAGTCTGGACTATAGAATAGTCTAGTCTGGACTAATGATAGTATAGTCTGGACTATAGAATAGTCTATCGTCTGGACTATAGAATAGTCTATAGTTGGACTATAGAATAGCCTATAGTCTGGACTAAGAATAGTCTGGACTATAGAATAGTCTATTAGTCTGGATTATAGAATCGTCTATAGTCTGCACTATAGAATAGTCTATAGTCTTAACTATAGAATAATCTATAGTCTTAACTATAAAAACTATAAACTAGTCTATAGTCTGGACTATAGAATAGTCTATAGTCTGGACTATAGAATAGTCTATAGTCTGGACTATAGAATAGTCTATAGTCTGGACTATAGAATAGTCTATAGTCTGGACTATAGAATAGGTCTATAGTCTGGACTATAGAATAGTCATAGTCTGGACTATAGAATAGTCTATAGTCTGGACTATAGAATAGTCTATAGTCTGGACTATAGATATGTCTATAGTCTGGACTATAGAATAGTCTATAGTCTGGACTATAGAATAGTCTATAGTCTGGACTATAGAATAGTCATAGTCTGGGACTATAGAATAGTCTATAGTCTGGACTATAGAATAGAATAGTCTATAGTCTGGACTATAGAATAGTCTATAGTCTGGACTATAGAATAGTCTATAGTTTGGACTATAGAATAGTCTATAGTTTGGACTATAGAATAGTCTATAGTTTGGACTATAGAATAGTCTATAGTTTGGACTATAGAATAGCCTATAGTTTGGACTATAGAATAGCCTATAGTCTGGACTATAGAATAGTCTATAGTCTGGACTATAGAATAGTCTATAGTCTGGACTATAGAATAGTCTATAGTCTGGACTATAGAATAGTCTATAGTCTGGCCTATAGAATAGTCTATAGTCTGCACTATAGAATAGTCTATAGTCTGGACTATAGAATAGTCTATAGTCTGGACTATAGAATAGTCTATAGTCTGGACTATAGAATAGTCTATAGTCTGGACTATAGAATAGTCTATAGTCTGGACTATAGAATAGTCTATAGTCTGGACTATAGAATAGTCTATAGTCTGGACTATAGAATAGTCTATAGTCTGGACTGTGGAATAGTCTATAGTCTGGACTGTAGAATAGTCTATAGTCTGGACTATAGAATAGTCTATAGTCTGGACTATAGAATAGTCTATAGTCTGGACTATAGAATAGCCTATAGGCTGGACTAAAGAATAGTCTGGACTATAGAATAGTCTATAGTGTGGATTATAGAATAGTCTATAGTCTGGACTATAGAATAGTCTATAGTCTTAACTATAGAATAATCTATAGTCTTAACTATAAAAACTATAAAATAGTCTATAGTCTGGACTATAGAATAGTCTATAGTCTGGACTATAGAATAGTCTATAGTCTGGACTATAGAATAGTCTATAGTCTGGACTATAGAATAGTCTATAGTCTGGACTATAGAATAGCCTATAGTCTGGACTAAAGAATAGTCTGGACTATAGAATAGTCTATAGTCTGGATTATAGAATAGTCTATAGTCTGCACTATAGAATAGTCTATAGTCTTAACTATAGAATAATCTATAGTCTCAACTATAAAAACTATAAAATAGTCTATAGTCTGGACTATAGAATAGTCTATAGTCTGGACTATAGAATAGTCTATAGTCTGGACTATAGAATAGTCTATAGTCTGGACTATAGAATAGTCTATAGTCTGGACTATAGAATAGTCTATAGTCTGGACTATAGAATAGTCTATAGTCTGGACTATAGAATAGTCTATAGTCTGGACTATAGAATAGTCTATAGTCTGGACTATAGAATAGTCTATAGTCTGGACTATAGAATAGTCTATAGTCTGGCCTATAGAATAGTCTATAGTCTGGCCTATAGAATAGTCTATAGTCTGGACTATAGAATAGTCTATAGTCTGGACTATAGAATAGTCTATAGTCTGGACTATAGAATAGTCTATAGTCTGGACTATAGAATAGTCTATAGTCTGGACTATAGAATAGTCTATAGTCTGGACTATAGAATAGTCTATAGTCTGGACTATAGAATAGTCTATAGTCTGGACTATAGAATAGTCTATAGTCTGGACTATAGAATAGTCTATAGTCTGGACTATAGAATAGTCTATAGTCTGGACTATAGAATAGTCTATAGTCTGGACTATAGAATAGTCTATAGTCTGGACTATAGAATAGTCTATAGTCTGGACTATAGAATAGTCTATAGTCTGGACTATAGAATAGTCTATAGTCTGGACTATAGAATAGTCTATAGTCTGGACTAGAATAGTCTAGTCTGGACTATAGAACAGACCTGGGATAAATGCATTAAATGTGTTAATGCATTAACAATTTTTTCTACATTAAAAAAATTAATGTTAATGCAAGTTTATTGCATTAACATTAACATGGGTACATTTAATGCATTAAATTTGCATTAACATTAAATATTTTTAAATTTAATGCACTAATTTTACATTAACATTAAATATTTGTGAAATTAATGCATTAATTTTGCATTAACATTAAATATTTTTGAATTTAATGCATTAATTTTCCATTAACATTAAATAATAAATAATAAAATTAATGCATTAATTTTCCATTAACATTAATGTATAAAAATAAGAATACAGCGCTAAAGACCTCTGTCTAACAAAATTCAAGTAAAATTGAATGTGTTAAAGTCCTTTCTAATAAGTCCTATACTCGATAATACATATTAGAAGAATAATATCACTTCCCAGATATTCCTTTTTTAGTTTATTTTGTCTGTGGAATCTTATATAAATATCATATTTAAAACACACAAGTTTGAATGGAATATAGGAGTTATTAGAAAGGACTTTAACCTATTTAATTTTAGTTGTTTAGTTAGATCGAGGTCTTTTGAGCTGTATTTTTATTTATGTTTATCAATTTTTATATATATTAATGTTAATGGAATATTAATGCATTAATTTTATTGCTTATTTAATGTTAATGTAAAATTAATGCACTAAATTCAGATATATTTAATGTTAATGCAAAATTAATGCATTAATTTGAAAAATATTTAATGTTAATGTAAAATTAATGCATTAAATTCAAAAATATTTAATGTTAATGGAAATTTAATGCATTAAATTTTAAAAATTTAATGTTAATGCAATATTTTTTACATTAAATTAATTTTTTTTTAATTTAATGTTAATGCAAAATTAATGGAAATCGCCCAGGTCTGCTATAGAATAGTCTATAGTCTGGACTATAGAATAGTCTATAGTCTGGCCTATAGAATAGTCTATAGTCTGCACTATAGAATAGTCTATAGTCTGGACTATAGAATAGTCTATAGTCTGGACTATAGAATAGTCTATAGTCTGGACTATAGAATAGTCTATAGTCTGGACTATAGAATAGTCTATAGTCTGGACTATAGAATAGTCTATAGTCTGGACTATAGAATAGTCTATAGTCTGGACTATAGAATAGTCTATAGTCTGGACTATAGAATAGTCTATAGTCTGGACTATAGAATAGTCTATAGTCTGGACTATAGAATAGTCTATAGTCTGGACTATAGAATAGTCTATAGTCTGGACTATAGAATAGTCTATAGTCTGGACTGTGGAATAGTCTATAGTCTGGACTGTAGAATAGTCTATAGTCTGGACTATAGAATAGCCTATAGTCTGGACTATAGAATAGTCTATAGTCTGGACTATAGAATAGCCTATAGTCTGGACTAAAGAATAGTCTGGACTAAAGAATAGTCTGGACTATAGAATAGTCTATAGTCTGGATTATAGAATAGTCTATAGTCTGGACTATAGAATAGTCTATAGTCAGGACTATAGAATAGTCTATAGTCAGGACTATAGAATAGTCTATAATCTGGACTATAGAATACCACTCGGAGGTAAAAAAGAAAGTTCGGCTAACAACATAAAACACCAATGTGTTTTTAAAATAATTTTTGATAAAAATACATTTTTTATTAAAAGATTTTATTTTTCATAGTTTTACATGTAAAACATTTTTGTTACAAAATTTTCATTATCATCTTATAAACATAAAAAATGTTCGTATGTATACATATATATATATATATATATATTGAAAAAGGACGGATTACAATTCAGTTATATAAGTAAGCTATAATTATATATATATATTTTATATATAAAAGGGGGAGATTATAAAACATTAAGCAAAATCTCTTGGGATGGATTTCTTTTTTGAACAAATAGTATTACATATAATGTTATTACTAATTTTATAGATTTTTACTTAAAAACTAAATTATGATTAAAAGAAGAAAAAAAATTTAAGAGAAATTAAAAATTGGAATTAAAATTTTTATTATTTGATATGATTTCTAAAATCTAAGGCATTTTTTGTAAAAAGTTTGATATTCAATATGCATAGTAAGACACTTTTGTTTAATAATAATATTTTGAGACAAATAATTGTTTAAGAATTAAAAAAAAGATAACACACTTGGTGTGTTATAATAATGAAAATCTAAGTTTGATTTTTTTTCAATTTCAATTTGATATCATTTACTTTTTTGTAAAGCTTGTCTTGGTTTAAATTTTAAGAAGTTTTCTTTTTTTTCTTTATATTGTTGGTATTTTGTTTTGTACACTTGAGATTTCTTTTTTTAAATTTAATAAACTTAAAAAATAAATTACTAAAAATTAGGAATTTAATATAAAAAAATTTTAGTTGTTTTGTTTTTTCTTTAACAAAAACATATGGACGGATTTAATTGCATTTTTTTAATATATTTCGAATTCGAGTTATTTTTTTTTTAATTTATCTTTCTTAAGGGTTTTTTTTTTCGTTTTATTACACTGCTGCTGCTGACTTTTGGTTACTTAAATAATAATACACTTCAACTACTGCTACTGGCTGATAAATAGCTCTAATACATAGACGATATAGGGAGCTAAACTCCCATTAGATGCAGCATATTGAGTACTAAATGGGTACGACTACGCATTAAATAGATGAACATACTAAACACTAACAACGATACAGACATAGAGGCACGCCAGCCCATATTGTAAATCGAACAGTATGGACACTGAGAACTACCACAGACTTCGCATATATTCAGCAGATATGTTGGCAAAGCATCAAATATTGTCTCATTAAAACGTTCTGTAATTTAAAAGAAAAGAAAATGTTTAAAAATCAAAAGTTTCGATTATTCCAATTTGTTTTGAAATTGTACAAACAAATTCCAAAAAATGAACAACATACCTGGAGCATAATAATCATAAACACGTATGGGTAAATATCTAGACATATTAGCCACGGGATACCAACGTTCTATAGTGAAATTAACACACACATCTTCTTGATCCAACTATAGAAACAAACAAAAGAACAACAAAGAAAATTATTAATAAATAACACCCGAAAATACTATTTCCCAGTTGGCCACTACTTACATAATCAAAATAGAAAACAACTTTATTATTTGTGTATTTAGCTCTACGTAGATTTCGCACACGATTACTTAAAACATATGAATCTAATTTTTGTTGCTGAATCCAGTAGCCAGTGGGTATGGTAACATCTAATACAGCCATGCCAGAACGTTCAGATTCCTGATGATTTATCCAGCTGAAAACAAAAGAAATTATTCAATAACAATTGTTTATTAAAAATTCAACAAACTTACTGTTGACATGCTACGTAAGAGATGTGAGACTGATTTCTGCCATGGAAATTGCCTTTAGCGATTAGGTTAAATGCCGGCACTGGAGGTTTAGTTTGGAATTTTTCGATGTCAACATTGTATTGTACATGCATTTGTAAAATGGCGTAACCAGCACCCTTGGCTTGGACTTTTACTGTACCCCAGGCATCAGGAATCTAAAAAGTATAAAAATATTAAAAAAATTTGAAAATTTTGCTGAAAACATAAGATAGTGAAAATTTGGTGAAAACATAATTTTTAGTGAAATTTTGGTGAAAATCTAGTTTTTAGTGAAAAATTGGTAAAAACCTAATTTTTTAGTAAAAACCTTGTGAAAATAGAATAGTCTATACTCAGGACTATAGAATAGTCTATACTCAGGACTATAGAACAGTCTATACTCAGTCTGGACTATAGAACAGTCTATAGTCTGGACTATAGAACAGTCTATAGTCTGGACTATAGAACAGTCTATAGTCTGGACTATAGAACAGTCTATAGTCTGGACTATAGAACAGTCTATAGTCTGGACTATAGAACAGTCTATAGTCTGGACTATAGAACAGTCTATAGTCTGGACTATAGAACAGTCTATAGTCTGGACTATAGAACAGTCTATAGTCTGGACTATAGAACAGTCTATAGTCTGGACTATAGAACAGTCTATAGTCTGGACTATAGAACAGTCTATAGTCTGGACTATAGAACAGTCTATAGTCTGGACTATAGAACAGTCTATAGTCTGGACTATAGAACAGTCTATAGTCTGGACTATAGAACAGTCTATAGTCTGGACTATAGAACAGTCTATAGTCTGGACTATAGAACAGTCTATAGTCTGGACTATAGAACAGTCTATAGTCTGGACTATAGAACAGTCTATAGTCTGGACTATAGAACAGTCTATTCTATAGTCTGGACTATAGAACAGTCTATAGTCTGGACTATAGAACAGTCTATAGTCTGGACTATAGAACAGTCTATAGTCTGGACTATAGAACAGTCTATAGTCTGGACTATAGAACAGTCTATAGTCTGGACTATAGAACAGTCTATAGTCTGGACTATAGAACAGTCTATAGTCTGGACTATAGAACAGTCTATAGTCTGGACTATAGAACAGTCTATAGTCTGGACTATAGAACAGTCTATAGTCTGGACTATAGAACAGTCTATAGTCTGGACTATAGAACAGTCTATAGTCTGGACTATAGAACAGTCTATAGTCTGGACTATAGAACAGTCTATAGTCTGGACTATAGAACAGTCTATAGTCTGGACTATAGAACAGTCTATAGTCTGGACTATAGAACAGTCTATAGTCTGGACTATAGAACAGTCTAGTCTATAGTCTGGACTATAGAACAGTCTATAGTATGGACTATAGAATAGTCTATAGTATGGACTATAGAATAGTCTATAGTCTGGACTATAGAATAGTCTATAGTCTGGACTATAGTCTATAGTCTGGACTAGAATAGTCTAAAGTCTGGATTATAGAATAGTCTATAGTATGGACTATAGAATAGTCTATAGTTTGGACTATAGAATAGTCTATAGTTTGGACTATAGAATAGTATATAGTCTGGACTATAGAATAGTCTATAGTCTGCAGTTTGGAAGGGAATCGAATAATATTAAACTGAAAATTAAAACGAAACATTCACAACTTACATCAATATATTGCAATTGCGCCAAATTAGTGTCATCTATATGCAAAGTATGCGGTTTACCGCCCTGAGACGAGGCCTCAATTTCCACCGTTAACGAAGAAACTTCTCGTATACGGGAATGTACCGTGTACTCGACTAAAGCTCTTAAGGCAGCACTAGTATCCTGTGTCGATGCCCAACCACCATCATTCAAACGTTGAGCATTTAACCAACGTGCTATAGGATCTACCGAAAATTCACGACGTGATACATAAACCATTAAAGCATAAGCGGTGGTTTCAATATTCACAGAATCATATTCATACGGCAAGCGAGGTAGAGAGAACCATTTTTGATTTTCTAATTTTTTCGGCGGCGGCGGTAGTTCTTTATTACCCCAATACATATAGTCGCCTACTATTCGAGCATGCGTGCGTAGAATACTGAAGACATGTTCAGCCATGGGAGATTTACTTAGTAGTAAAGCATAGGCAGTGATGGCCACATCGTAAGGTTCCGGAGTATCTTGCAGAAATTGCATATTACGTTCTATCCATGTTATGGCGCGTTGTTGAGCTAAGGCCACACGTGCTCCTAAGGAACCGGATAGATCTTTGACTATGGCCAATGATATGAGTACATGCGAAGTTAGGGTGACATTACGATTTTGTAGTGTATGATTGGCAAAATTGGTTCTATTCATTTTACGATCTGGCAACCAGGTAACCTCATAGAAACCTCCTTCGGGTGTTTGATGTTGCAGCAGCCAGCGTATGTTCTTTTCAATAATGGTGGGGTCAATATAAATGAAATTTTCCCATTCATAGAAAGAGGCCTCTTGGAAAATGCGTACACAATATGCGGTTAACCACACAGAAGAAGCGGAATTATTCCAATCAGAACGGAACAGGGAGAAAGAACCATCTTGTTTCATAAAACTGAGTTGTCGTTGATAGCCAATGTTCATGTGATAGAAGGCCTGTTTTTCCAAAGTCTTATTACGCTGATTAATCATGCGCATATAGAGTAAAGTGTACATATTGGCAGCAAAGGAGAAGGCATTTTGTTCAGCCGATTCCATGGGCAAGTACAGCAAAGAGGTGGCATTTACCGGCATGGTGGGGAATATAGGTCCCACCACATCACCCACTACCGAAATACGAGCCTTGTTAGAGCCATAAACAAAGTAACGATCCACTTGATATGGAATTTCTGGCGTCTGGGTGATGTTGACATGCATATATTCAAAAACATAAGCACGATTGGAGAGATCCAATAGTATAGATTGATGACGATATTGAGGTAAGCCATCAGATTCAACATGTAAACGTCTGGTTATGGTATCGGTACCCAAAAGAGTGGCCACATGTAGCGTAACATCAATATCTCCTAAACGTTGGGGTACTACCGGCACATAGACCACAGTAGTGCCTTGAGCATCTAAATATATAAAGAATTGTTGTTCTCCAAAGGAAGTGCGTGGATTATAGGATCTAACTATGCCATTTTCTTCTACATGAACAAATTTATAATCCGGACTACCATGTAAGACCACAGTAGCTTCAATAGGTGTAGTCATATAATTGAAAACGGTCACCCTTATACCAACTTGTTCGCCTTGTCGGCATTCAGTGGGCATTTCAACATTTATAAAGAACGGTTGCACTCCCACATATTCAATGGCTTTGTTAAGCATGCCAAAACCTTTGGAAGGACTAACACTAAAGGCGCTAACCATCCAGTAGGCTGGTCTATCTGGTACCTCCACATTAAACATGTAACGACCATGGGGGCCAATATTAACATCACGCCATAACCAAACATGTTCATAATGTCTTAAAACACGATTGAAACGGTATTTGCGGTAATTCTCCAACTCCGTATCATTGCGCACACGACAGCCAATTTCATCGGTACCATCATCACAATCGAACAGACCATCACATTTCTTATCCAAACGATAACATCTACCGGACAAACACTCGCCATAGCCCAAGGTAGCATTACAATTATCCGAACGCCTGGGTACATAGCCATCTGTAAAGACCACCAAACCACTGTATTCAAATGTGCGATTGGCGTCAATACCAAAAGAAGAAGCGGGGAAATAAACCAAATCATCAGGATTACCAGCATGAGAATACCAGATATGTTTGTAGGTGCCATTGGTTTGTTCATCAAAAGAAGACATTTTGGTAATAATTTTGGCATAAGTCAATTCATTGCCGGCCTGCATGGTATAGAAAGCTGAATCTATACCAGAGAGACCCACATACGAACCAGGTTCACCAAAAATAGCCACCTCTACCTTTTCACCCGTCCTAGCTTTACGGTTATTGATATAAACAGTGAAATTATTACGTGATATACCATTAACGGGGAAGGTTAAAGAATCCGCCACAATTTGACCTTGTTGGGTAATTTTCCATACCACAATAGTGGCCACTGGAGCCATTTCAGCACTCAAGACCACAGCTATAGTTTTAATACCTTCCGTAATAGTTTCACGATCATTCATCAATATAACACCCTTGGACATAATTAAATAATGGAATTCTTCAAGGAAAAAGTTGGTACGTATGTGGAATATAATATATTCTCCCACCACTGGCTTCTCTGTGCTGGTGGTTACTTTAATATGTTGATTGCGTGGTGAATAATGAGCAACTAATAGCAATTCTGTTTGAGCCCGTTCTCCTCGAGGATCTACGAATTGAGCCTGTAAACGCATTTGTGAGACCCCATTAAGAAAGTCTCTAGATTGAGCACGATCATCCAGCTGCAAATCATGTCTTAAATCAATTTTAACTTCCCATATACCAGGAGATAAAGGCATCATATTTAAACGTTTCATAGGCCAATCACGTCGACCACCAGATTTACTTTCCACAAAACCATTTACTTCCATTATACCTTGTTTAAGCAAATGTTCATCAATAGGAGAACCATCATGATACTCCACCGCCAGGTAAGTGGTAAAAGGCATAGTGGGCTTAAACACTTGAGGAGAATCTCCCAAGAAATTAACCTTAATGCTAGAGTTGTATATTCTAGCTATGGCATATCCCGATATTACTTCATCGTAGAATTTCTCTCCCACTGTGGCCGTAATCAATACTTCCATATTAGCCAAATTTTGCACCAATTGTTCCATTTCTCTAATGGGCCATTTGAAATCAAAAGTGCCATTAAAATATCTTAAATAGGGTAAGGTCTTCTTATATTCTCCCGACCAGGGATCATAAGTTTCGGCAACATCGGGTTTCTGCACCCAGAATGGCCATTCTTCATCGAATTGATAGTGTCTTTCGACCACAAATTGATTGGTATTATATATTTGATCCTGTTGCAATTGGGGCTGTTGTGATGGATCTGGATTCAATTGGTTATTATAATTGGGATTATAATTAACACCATAACGTCTCTGTTGTTCATAAATGGCGGCCAATTCTGAAGGTGATCTTCCCAAGCGGAATTTCTCATTGAGAGCTTGATTGCTAAAGTAGCCGATGGGACGTATGGTAGCTTTTAGCGTCAGATTACCCTTGACTGGAGCACCGCTAGTAAAGTTTGCCATTACACGACCATAAATGAAAGGATCTGTATTAAAGAAGTATGCGGGCATTGTAACATTGACTTCGAAACGTGTCTGGTAATATTCTTCTACAGAGAAATGACTTTCTTCCTGTTGTCCTTGGGCTATAACACGTATGGTCCATTCACCAAATGTAGGTTGATCGGAAAGTTTGTATTCTAGGGATACAGAGCCTAAATTGGATTGTCTGTAAGTGGAAGAGTATGAGAGTTGTTGGTAAAAAGAAAAGCAGAGTAAGTAAATGCGAAATTTTTTCTATCGATCGGAATATTCTTTAGTTTTGTTTCAAAATGAGTCCTCCAATCCAATTTGTCTTTATTGTCACAACTGATTTCTTTTAATAACTTTTACAAACTTACCTTGACAGCCAACGTCTAACAATATGACGACTAGGATCCAGCATATAAACATCGATAGCATTATCGAATCCTTTTAGCTCTGTAGTAATAGGTATGGTACGAAAACGTACAGTTTCACCTTGCATATACAAAGGTTTATCGGTTTGTATGAAAATGGACATGGAACGTTGTGAGAAATCCAAACGTGTTTCGTTGAGAAAAGCCAAACCACCAAAAACATTCTGATAGAAACCCTCGACACGTAACTTATACTCACCACCAGTACTGGTGGGAGGAATACGCATGAGAAGAGTTTCCGGCACACCCTCCTTAACATCCTTCGAATCACCACTAATCTGTACACCATCACAAGAGATACTAGCATGTACAGTGGTACGGTATTGGGACTGGAGAATATTAACTGCCACCTGGTATATCAAACCGGGACGTACCATACGTGAAGCCACTATAAAATAAGTAGGTTCTTTCGAATGATAATATTCCAAAAATTGTGTCTTAACATTGTAGGTGGTTTTGCCGCGTGACAAAGAGGGTTCATCATCACCATACGAACCGCCAGCACCGGGACGTTTGCCAAAATCTTGATTTAGATCATTGAAATTGTTGTCCGTACGATAACGTGTACGATCATTGTTATCCAAATTGTTTAAGTTGATATTTTGATTATAGGGATCATTGCTGTTGGCATTAAATTGGTCATAATTCGAGGTGGGTGTTGAATATTGATTCTGTTGATAGAAATCCTGTTGAGCTGTTATCAGGGGTAAAACAATACACAGCACTTGGTATAACAGCATCAGTTTAAGGCACCGATGGCGTTGTTTAGTCATTTT